TTGTCCCGAGCTGCCCTTTGAAATTTTCTGTTCAGCTCTTTGATTTCTTCTGTTAGCTCTGGCTTCTTGGCACTCTAATAATACATTCAGAGTCTCATTTGACATCCATCTTGGTCTTTTCTTCCTCTTCAGCTTTGTAATGATCTTTTGCATTCTTCATGGACGATATTCTTGATATCCTCCCACAGCTCATTTGGTCTAAGCTCATTGGTGCTCAAGGCCTCAAATCTGTTCCTGACATGGTTTTGAAATTTGAGTGTGACTGAAGATAAAATTTTGGTTCCCACGGATTTAATTTTCTTCAACTTTAGCTTGAACTTGCATATGAGGAGGTGGTCTGTCCCACCATCAGAACCTGGCCCGTTTTTCACAGCTGATAACGAGTTTCTCCAGTGAGTCTTTCCATAAATGTAATCAATTTAAATCCTATACATACCATAAGGTGAAATCCATGTGTAAAGCCTGTGTTTGTGTTTCTTATTAAAGTATTTGCAATGAATAGATCGAGTGTTCAGAATTCTATCATTCTATCTCGAGACTTATTTCTGTCACTGAGTCCATGTTTTCCAGCTACTAATCCTTCTTCCCTGTTCCCAACTTTCATGGTCTAATTGCCCATCTTTACCAATGCATCTTGATTGCATGTTCGATTGATTTCTGACTGCAAAAGTTGGTAGAAATCTTCCATTTCCTCCTCTTTGGCTCTAGTTGTTGGTGCATATATTTGAATGATAGTGGTACTCACTGGACTTCCTTGTACGCGTATGGATATTATCCTGTCACTCACCATATTGTATTTCATGATGGATCTAGTATGGTTATAAAAAGTTAAGGAAAAGCTTACTGACAATGCATTTTAGATGGTTACCATTATGGGAAGGGACAATTGAGATAGTTGAGTAATTAATATATCTATCAGAACTGTATGAATGACCAAAGGAAATAAAAAGCAGTATGGTTTTTAAGTTTTCCATCAAATAAATGAAAACAACATAAACCCCAAAACACCTAGAAGAAAATCTTTAGAAGATGAACATGGCAAAGATGCAATTTTCAAGAGAGTTCTGGTGGACTAAAGACAAGAAAGTGCACTTTTACCAGGAAGGTGTGGGTTTCAAATCCACCAGATGCTATGGTGGGAAGGAGGGGCTGTGAGGTATTACTGTGACCTCTTCACAGGCTCACAGTTGTCCCTTTAGTGGTTTTCTAAGGCTGTAAATCCCCTTTCTCTCAAGTAGCTGTTAGGAGATTCAAACTACCAGGGGTGCAGCCTGGGACAACTTTCTACACATAAATACCAACATCAAAGTCACTTAGTTGAATACTATTTTAAAGCTTAATGTAACAATTAGCAAGAATATAAAATGGTCTTACAAAACGTAATTTTAGTAGGTAAGGTAGAAAAAGTTTTATTTAGCAACCAATCAATCTAATCCTAAATATTTTTAGAGATGATCTTTAAAAATTGAGTATCTGGTTAACTAAGCTCTTATTAAGTTACTAGTTTTGAAGTCAACTGAGTCATGTTAAGTCAATTCTGACTCTTGGCAACTCCATGTATACAAGAATAATCATAATCTATAAGGTTTTCAAGGCTGAGATCTGTGAACAGATTGTCAGCTGTATTATGACCTGTTTATAGATAGGTTCAAAAATTAGTCATCCAGCACTTAACCGTTAGTGAAACAAAGTCATATATTAATCTGAATGGGCAACAAAAAGAGTATCTCAGACTAGAAAAAAAGTGGGAGAACAAAACATTTTCAGGTATTCTCTAATCATGGGGCTCTTTTTTAAAATCAACATTGATTGTTTTGGGTTTTTTTAGATTTTAATGGGAGTTTATAGAGAACATGGATTTCCATTCATTCATTCACTGTTGCACAATTATCTCCTCTCTGCCCACCCAGGCCCCCAGTTTGCTTTTTTTCTTTGGAGGAAAAAAATTTCTTTCATTCTTGTACAATTCCCACCATGGCACACTCTTGTAAACAAACTCCGCTTTCTCAGTAAATACAAGTGATTTTTTTAATTACAGTCTCATGACAAGCAATAATACAGTAACAATATATTTAATGGTTAACAATTCACTTTCCCATAGCTAACTGTAGTTTAACTTACTTGCTAAATTTTCAACTATCAACATTGCTATGTAAGTCCCTACTATGAAATGTTTTGTTGTTTGTTGTTGTTATGTACCATCGAGTCGCCTGCAACTCATAGCAACCCTATGTACAACAGCCCTAAATCTGCTCTGTCCTGTGCCAATCGCACTGTCTCTGAAACTCCCATCCCAATTATCCCAGTCACTGAATCAATCCACCTCATAGAGGGCCTTCCTCTCCTGCGCTGTCCCTCCACCCTCCCAAGCATGATGTCCTTCTCCAAGGACCGGGCTCTCCTCACAATATGTCCAAAGTATGTTAGACGGAGCCTCAGAATCCTTGCCTCTAAGGAGCCACCCGGTTTAGCCCTTTCCAGGACAAATCTGTTTGTTTTCCTATCAGTCCATGGTATTCTCAACACTCTTCTCCAGCACCACAGCTCAAAGGCATCAATTCTCCTTCTATCCTCCTTGGTCATTGTCCAACTCTCTGATGCATAACAGGTGATTGAGAAGACCATGGCCTGTTATCAGACGCACCTTAGTCACCAAAGAGATACCATTGCTCTTCAGCACTTTGGAGAGGTCCCTAACAGAAGACTTTCCCATGGCAATGCGCCTTTTAATTTCCTGGCTGCTGGTGCCAAGACTGTTGACTATGGAGCCAAGCAAACTAAAGCTGTGTACAATCTCAATCTCTTCACCATCCATCCTGATGCTACCAATTGGTCCAGTGGTGAGAATCTTTGTCTTCTTGACATTGAGCCTTAATCCATATTGTAGGCTGCAGTCCTTGACACTCTGCAGCAGGCGCTTCAGGTCCTCCTCAGTTTCAGCAAGCAGGGTTGTATCATCTGCAAAACGCAGATTGTTGATAAATCGTCCACCAATCTTGACCCCACACTTCTCCTCATAGAGCCCCGCCTCCCAGATAATCTGTTCTGCATATAGGTTGAAAAGGTATGGAGATAGGATGCATCCCTGGCATACGCCCTTCCCAATTTTGAACCATGCAGTGTTCCCTTGCTCTGTTCTGACGACTGCCTCCTGGTCCAAGTATAAGTTTCGCATTAGAACGATCAAGTGTTCTGGGATTCCCATTCTTCTCAGAGTCAGCCATAGTTTGTTACAAATGCCTTTGCATAGTCAATGAAACACGGTGATTTTGTTGTTTATATCCAGATAATTAAGTTTTAACTTTTACTCAAAAGCTTAACTTCTGTGTTATTTTAAATCTTCAAGCCCACAAAGAGCGGTCTAGAGGCATAATCCATAGGGAGATGTGCTAACCCCAACTCTCTAGAAGTTCGAATCCATCATTTTATCTGTCAAAGATGGGCAATCTTCTACCATGTGATTTAGAAACACAGAGGAGGGTTAGTTTAGCTAGGAAATGGTTGTACCTTGATGGCAATGAGGTGATTAAAGTTCACAGAACAAACTTCCACAGAACAAACTTCCTCTCAAGCCTACTAAATCCCACTCCCTAGCTCAGAGACAAATGAGCATTTACCACACTTGGCATATATCCTTCCGGACATTTCTGTTATTACATATTCTTAGGTGTAATCAGTAAATATTTATCCAGCTCCTACTAAGCAGCAGAGAGCTCTAATGGCCATAAGAAGTCAGGCAGCTAACAAGGCACTTCTCAAATAGTTCAAGTAAGCCAGTTGCTCACAGAAGACAGACTATCTCCTCTCATGTGTTTTACAGCCTCTAAAATCCTCTAGAGGGTCAGCTATGAGTTAACACTGACTTGAGAACAATGATTCAGACAAGTAACATTCTAGGAAATAGTAAACAAAAGGGGACAAAGGGACTCTACAGTGAAGTTTACATTCCAAGAGAAGGTAGAGATGTGACAATAAGGTTACTAGAAAATTGGGTTCTACACAAAGTCCCTAAGGCAAGTAGTTAGGCTTAAATACTTCCACTTTTTCCACTATCAAGTAGAAGTGTTTGTAGGATGTAGTATTAACAAATTAGAGGACATGTGATGAAAGACTGATGGTCTGAATACATGCAGAGGCATTTCCAAGTACAGACCTGGGTATGTTTTAGAAAGTTAAGAGCCTTGAAAACCATATGCAGCAGTCCTACTTGGCACATGTCACTGTTGGTCAAATTCTCAACAGCAAACAAGAATAGCAGAGTAGATATAGGTGATGTCTTTAGGAGATGGATGGAAGGGCTGAGAGAAAAAAATACTATGGCAGTGCCTTTTGAGAAAATTTTTAAAGAATTGCAAATCTAACAAATCTAACATTGCAAATCAGAAGAGTAGAAAATTTCAAATTTATCTAGTGTATTGAAGATACACTAAAAACAAGTGCATGGTCATACACGCTTGTATATAGGAACAAAGACACAAAGAAAGGTATAGGTGAACATGTGTACAAACATAAGACACAGTATTATGTACATGCAAGCACATATAAACAAGCCACAATTTCAAATACTTCTAAGACATACCTAAATACCTCGCAAAATCAGTCTTCTAGGTTTGACGGTTTAGGATCTGTTTGAGGGGACAACTCACATCAACTGTCATAAAAGATGGTGCACAATTCATGTCCTCCAATGAGTAATGTCTAGGGACCTAAATAAATGCTTGAGAGCAGTCACACAAGACAAAGCTACTGTTCTCTAGTCATCAGGAGCAAACAATTAAGAAATAAACCAACGTGTCTCAGAAAAGAAACTAGTCTATAGGGACAATAGCCTCCTGAAGCCTGGGTGTGTCCAGCTACCACTACCAAACTACCAGATGGATCCTGTCAGGAGAAAATATAGCACAGAACTCAAGTTCTTAAAAAACTTCACCTTTGTCAAAATCAATGTATTCAAACTTTGTAAATAAATCAGAGTAATATGAAAAAAATTTAAAATACACCCAAAAACTTCAGACCTGTTAAACCAACTGAAAATGAAAGAATCCTTGAGACAATTATCCTCTGATATATAGAAAGTATAGAGACCACTTTTTAATGAAAACACATGACACTCAAAAAATGTTCTACCTTATGTTTTGCACTCTACTTAAAAAAAACCCCAAAACAAACTGTATGAGACTATAAGTTCAACATTTACTCCAAAGCAAAGATGAGAAGGTGACAGGGAATTAATAGAAATGTCACCGAAAACTTGTATAAAAGAGACATATACATGCAGGCTGGTTTCAGAAGAGGCCATGGTACTAGGGATAGTATAGCTAATATTTGATGTATCCTGGCTGAATGCAGAATACCAGAGGAATGTCTTTGTTTCACTGACTATGCAAGGCATATGACTGTGTGGATCAACAAACTGGGACTAAATGAGAAGAAGAGGAATCCCTGAACATCTGATTATGCTCATGCAAAACCTATACTTGGACCAGAATGCAGAATAGATCAAGGAAACACTGCAGCGTTTAAAATCAGGAAGGGTATATGGAAGGGATGTGTCCTATCTCCATACCTTTTCAATCTACATGCATAACAGATCATCTGGGGAAGCTGGGCTCTATGAGGAGGAATGTGGCATCAAGCTCAGAGGACAATTCATCAATAACCTGTGATATGCAGATGATACAACCTTGTCTGATGAAACTGAGGAGGAACTGCAGCCTTCAATGGATTGAAGCTTAACATTGAGAAGACTGCTATGTGAAAAACAATGTATATGAAAACTTTGTATGTAAACCAGTATAAAATTAAAAAAAAAAATTAAATTTTAAAAAAAGACCACTAGACCAATTTGTAGCATCATGATAGACAGTGCTTGGCTCCACAATTAACACTGTTGGTACCAGCAGCCAGGAAATTCAAAGACGAATTGCTTTGGAACTATCTGCTGTCAGGGACCTCTCCAAAGTACTGAAGAGCAACAATGTCTGTCTGTAGACCAAGGTGCAACTGATCCAGGCCATAGTATTCACAATTACTTGCTATGCATCAGAAAGCTAGACAATGAGTAGAGATGAAAGGAGAATTGATGCCTTTGAGCTGTGGTGTTGGAGAAGAGTACTGTATATGCAATGATCTGCTAGAACAAGCAGGTTTGTCCTGGAGAGGGTGAGACCAGGTTGCTCCTTGGAGACCAGGATTCTGAAGCTTCGTCTGACATACTTGGCGCATGTAACAAGGAACAACTAGTCCTTGGAGAGGAACATCAAGCTTGGGAGGGTGGAGAGACAGTGTAGGGGAGGAAGACCCTCGGTAAGAGGGACAGACTCAGTGACTGGGACACTAGGGGTGTGTCAGAGATGGTAAGGTTGATAAAGGAAGATTCACAATTGTTGTACACAGGGTCTTTGTGAGTTCCAAGCAACTCAATGGCACTTAACAACCCAACAACAAGGCTAGAGTGAGCAGAGTAAAACATCTGACGGTAAGAAGAACTGAACCACTGGAGATCAAGAAGTGTCATGTAAATTACATTAACATATTAACAGTGAATCAAATAAAAAGATGAGCTCTGGTGACAGAGTTCATAATGAGTTTGAAGTCACTAGCAGCTCTCTAAAGATTATAAATCTGTTAAAATTTAGTTTTGGAAACCAGATGAAAATTAACTGTAATGATGTAGGTGAGAGAACATTATTACGTATGGGTTGTGTGCTTCTAACAGTGAAATGGTGAAATACAAAAGGAAAATGTCAAGAGATGATCAACATTTTTTTTAACGAAACAAAAAAACCTGTAGCTTCATTAAATGAAAAGAGCAACATAGAAGAAACTAGTTTGAAGGTCTAGTAAATACCCAGTTTATCTTTAAATAGACTTAGGTGGTACTAAGAGTGGTATCAAGGAGGTAAAAGGATAAGCAAGTATGTTATTCAGGATAGAAATCCAGGCTGAAAATATGAGTGTGCTTACAGATGGCTATATAAAATGTATCAAAATTCATCACTCAGGATCACCAGCGAGCTCTGATATAAGGTGAAATATCAACCAAAAGGCATGTGGTTCAAATCCACCAGCTGCTCTGTAGGCATGGTACATTTAACATAGATAAAATGTTATCAAATGGCCCAGGAACCGTGGATAGAAAAGAGCAGTGGAAAAATTTGGCCACAGAGCACTTCAAACAATGATGAGAAAGAACAGTCAGAATATAATAACCTGGAAATTAAAAACAAAAAAAAACAAAGACTTCCCAAGTATCAGTTAAGTGAGAGGATTGAAACAGGACTATTATAGTCAATATACAGGAGCTCTACGGACAATGACTAGGGAGGACAGAAAAAGAATTGATGCCTTTGAGCTGTGGTGCTGGACAAGAGTACTGAATGTACCATGGACTGCCAAGAAAACAAACAGGTTCATCCTAGTGAGGGTTAAACCGGGCAGCTTCCTGGAGGCAAGGATTCTGGGGCTTCGTATGACATACTTTGGTCATGTTGTAAGGAGAGACCGGTCCTTTGAGAGGGGCACATCATGCTTCGGACGGTGGAGGAGCTCAGGAGAGGAAGGCCCTCTATGAGGTAGATTGATTCAGTGCCTGGAGTAATGAGGATGGGTGTATTGGAGACAGAGCAATTGGCACAGGACAGAGCAGAGTTTAGGGCTTTTGTACAGAGGGTACAACATGGCAAATGACTCAATGGCACCTAACAACATCATCATGTAGCTCTGGTGGAAAAGAAGCTGCCTTGTAATCCAGAAGGCGAATGGTTCGAATTCACCAGAAAATCTCCTGGAGGAGGAGGAGCAATCTCCTTCTGTGCCATCAGGATCCAATTAGATGGTACACAACAAAAGGGAATTCTGTTGGCCTAGTAGTTAGAAGTTGTGTGACAATCAGCCTAACTTTGAATACATACTATTCACATTTTAGAGATGTTGCTGTTGTGTACTGTCAAGTCAGAACTAACTGGTCTGACCCTCGGCATGGTTTTCAGAGGAAATTAATCAAGGGGGGAGACTGCCCATCTTTCTCCTGCACAGCATGTGGTAGACTTGAAATGCATCATCCTTGAGATTGCTCCCTCTGTGAAATAACTTTATAGTCACAGAAGATGATCTTTCTGAAGAAGTAAGCAAATTTAAATTTTCTTTTAAAAACCTATACCCATCGTGGAGTCAGTGAAGGCCTTCTAGGAGCAGGATTTCTAAAGCCCAAAAATGGCTGGGAGGCTTTGGTGCAAAGCCACTTTTGCTGGCTAAAAACAGTGTCTCTGGAACCAGAGGGAGCATAGCTCTTCTTAAAATTCAAAGTGTTTATGCCAGCGATAAAACAGAATTCTATTTAGGCAAGAGATGTGCTTATATTTACAAAGTAAAAAATACTGTGACTCCTGGTGGCAAACCTAACAAAACCAGAGTAATCTGGGGAAAGGTAACTCATGCCATGCCCATGAAAACAGTGGCATGGTTTGGGCCATGTTTTGGAGCAATCTTCCTGCTAAGGCCATTGGACACAGAATCCGTGTAATGCTGTATTCCTCAAGAATTTAACCTTATTGAAAAGTAAATGAATAAAATTATGGGCTTTTAAAAACAAAACAAAAAAATGCCACCAAACAAAAAGCCCCACACAAGTCAGAGGAATTTGTTACTGTTATGTGCAGTCCAGTCAGAACCAACTCACAGCGGGTTTTCAGAGGCATCGCATGGGAGAGGAGACTGCCCACCCTTCTCCCAGAGCTCCCTGTTATCAAAGTTATAGGATTAAGTTAACATGTATTAAAAATGTTTTAATATTTTTAAAAATTTTTATTTTAATGGTGAACACATGGTAATGTTCTGAAAGAAACAGACTGCTTCAATTTCCCTTTTAAATAAAAAATTAATTACTGTCCGACATAAAGCAGGTGTTGAGTATCACAGAAAATAAGTATCAATTTCCTAAAATGGTTTTATTCTTTTTTTTGTTTGTTTTATTCTTTCTAACGTACTTCACAAAAAAGGTTCTCATGTACAGAGAATTAAGATTTTCTAAGAAATCAGCCCCCACCTACAATTCTTAGAAGTTCAACAGACTACTGAGAAACAACCAAAATTATATGAATCTTGAACATGGCCCTATATGCCCCCAATGTATGAATGCTTATTTGGTCCCTACTCTTTTACTCCACGTAAATCCTTGGTGTGTAACCTATTCAACAATAGTATTTCTTGCTCAGAATCCAAGTTCTTTTGTTTGATTTTTATTCCCCTCCATATGTAATTTACCTTGTTATTCCACTTATAGATCTAAAACTTAAAACATTAGTTTATCACCACTATCCACATATTAAATTTGGTTTTCCTATCATCTCACAGCCCTCTGTTCTTTCACAGATCTAAACTATTAAAGTGGTACTTATTTCTTCTCTTTATGGTCCATATTAGCGAAGAAGTCAGAAGGGACTGGTTCATACCTGTACACTGACATGTGACTGTCATTCAGAGCAATTGCTCAAATTTTAATGAACACTGTAACTTTAAAGCTCAGTGTTTTAAAATCTTTCCTACTCTACTACTCAATCCTAACCCTCTCCCTTTTATATTCCTCAAGTTTCTCCCTTCTTCAATCTCACCACCTCTACTTTTCTCAAAGTCAAATCCTTTCCTCAACCCAATCTCAAACGTTTTGGTACCGTTCTGCACTTTTAGAACCTCTGCTTCCTTTAATAACATAGTTAAACCTAACATCTCCTCATTACCCTAAAAACAAGATCCATCTTTTTGCATCCCTGAAACCACAAGGCCAAGACAAATAAATGGATTTATCAAAGGAATGCATGAAACAGTTCCTTACACCAGAGTGCTCAATAAAACTTGTACCTATAATTTTAAAAAGCAAAAACTCCAATTCCTGTAACAGCTAACTTCAGACATTCAGTTTTCTAGAGTTCTTAAGAACGAGACTTTACTTCTGATCTAGATGAGAGAAGTGGACAAGTACTACAGAACAATGTTATGCCTATTTACGTTGTTAGGTGCAAAGCTGAGTACAACTCACTGTGACCCTATGAAGAATAGACCCCTGAGCTCTATCCTATGACATCCTCACTATCTGACATAGTCAACCCACTGCTGCAGTCACTGTGTCAATCCACCTGATTGAGGGTCGTCTTTTCCTTCACCATCCCTTTCTAAGTTATGATGTACCTTTCCAAGAAATAATTTGTCCTGGGGTAACATGTTCAAATACAAAATGAAGTTTCATCATTTTTGCCACCAAGGAGCACTCTGGCTGCATCTCTTCAAGACATATCTGTTTTTTTTTTTCTTTTTTGATAGTCCATGGGCTATTCAGTATCTTCTCCAACACCACAAATCAAAGGCATTAATTCTTCTTCTGCCATCTTTATTCATTGTCCAGCTCTCAGTAACAGTGACTAAGACGACCTTGGCTTCAATCAGGCACACCTTAGACCTCAATCAAACTAATATCACTGTTCCTAAAACTTAGAGAGGTCCCCAGTTTCTCCTTATCTCTTGACTGCTGGTACCAAGTGTATTGATTGGATCCAAGTAAAATGAAAATTTCAATATGGACTACATCTCAACATCAAGAAAAGAAACTGGACTGTTAGGCACTTCACGATAGATGGAGAAAAGACTGCAAACTGTCAAGACTTCATCTTTCTTAGATTCACAGAAAATACCGTTGGTTTATTATGTGTATTATAAATTATATACAGAACCATGCCACATAGCAACCTGCTGCAGTATTTACTAAATGGGTTATTAAAACATTAACTTAACCAATGAATCAAAACCCACGTTGCTAATAGATTTGTCTCATTGCCATTAATTCAGAACCAACTCATAGCTGACCTCCACAGGGTTTGAGACTGTAAATCACATAGATGGAAGGAGACTGCCTATCTTTCTCCCACAGAGTGGCTGGTGGATCCAAACCACCAGAGACAAGGTTATCATTAGCAGTGCAACTCCCTATGGACAAGGCCACCTAAGCCCCTATAAAATAGGCCAGCCTCAAATTCTTAACTCTCTTGCTATCCAAATTCTTACTAATATCCAAATTATTAGAAAGACTCATTCCTTCGTACCATCCTCAAGGAATCTTATTATCTACTTGCGTCCTTAGAAGAGCACTGAAAAAGGGATCAGCCTAGCTCCTTCTTGGTTTGACTTGGGGCAAATATCTGCTTTCAATGTTAAAACACCTAACTACTCTTCTCTCAGATTTTTTCCATTTTCAATGAGACAGTACTCCAGTATTAGATATTTTGTGGTTGGATTTAATGAAATGTAAAAAATTATCTAAATAGAATATAATCTGAGATTATCAAACTCAAGAGTAAACAAAAATTTTTAAAAATTTGTATAATCTAGAGAAAATAGATTTTTTTGCCTTTAAAGAAATCCATTTATTTTCACATTGACACACTTCAGCCTGCTTTTCCATCAAAGCTTTCAAATCAGTCCAAATCAATTTGATACTCATGTTATTCCATTAGTTTAAAAACAGCTGAGGTGGACTCCCTTGGGAAAGTTCTCTTGAGACATAAATACAAAACTGAAATATTTTCAAAAGTTTTCAACTGTACCATATCAACTAAACTTAAATTGGTGTATTTCCTGTCTTTGTAACAAAACCAAGTGGACCTCACACCTCTTACCATCACCCAGGAAGGGTGTGCATCTGTTCCGAAGGCCCCCCTGGATCCAGGTCATCCTGGCTGATGCTGCTCCAGGCTGGGCATCCATGTTGTTGTAGCTTGTGGTTTGTAGGGGTAGTGTACAGGAAAAGTAGGTTGGGATTTTAAGGGAAACAGGAGGAAGATGGCTTTCTGGGAAAATGCCATCACCATCATAGGTGCTAAGTAGTACCACACACATTTTACTGCAGCACAGTTTTAAAAATTTAACAAATGAAAGATTAAAAATAAAAATAATTAAAAAAATAAAAATAAAAAAATTAAAAATACAGACGTCCAAAGATGCTCTAAAACAGTTAAGTTAAAGATTAGGAAAAATAAGGTCAGACTTAAACAGCCAATAAAATTCTTGAGTGTGGGGGAGGGTATAAGGGCAAGGGTGGGGTTTGGGAGAGAAAAGGTTTATGTGATCAATCCACTTAAAAATGCTAATGCCACTGCTTTCTCTCCCAAGATGCAAAACTCCAAAGTCAATCAGGAGGCCGGAGAAATTCTTATGAACATTCAGAAAAACTCGATTTTAATCCGGTTAAAAATAATCAGTGCCATTATCATCATCATCATCACCATTATAAGTATAATAATAATAATAATAGTAATAATAGTAACTAGTAACAACAATAAAAAGGAAATCAGCGGAAAGTCAGGAAAAATGTAAAAAAAAAAATTGGAATAACTTACTGTAGCTGAAGATCAAAAAAATCTCACTGTAAAAAAACAAAAATAAAAATAGCCCAGATTAGAAAAACAGGAGGTGCAAAAATGTCAAGTCAGTAAAGTTTATTTTTCTTTCTTTCCAAAAGCAGTTTCCACAAAAACCGCAAGGGTAAAGTTCTCAGTAGCAAACAAGCAAAGCCCTTTTCACATTTCATTCAATCTTAAAAATACACGAGGAAGTAGAGGTCAGTTTATGAGAGGCTAAAAGGTTCCTCCTCCTCTAACCCAACTGCTGAAGAAAAAATAGAAATAAATTTTAAAAATTACATCTTAAATCCAGGTCCCGTTTTTGGAAACAAATTTAAAAAAAAAAAAACACCTGTATATTTGCTGTAGTGCACACCAAGTTGCATCAGTATGTTTAAAAGGTCTTTATAAAATCAATTTTAGAATGGGAATGTGTGTGTTCTGGAAGGGTGGGGAAGGGAGGTTAAAAATCAAAGCTGAGTTCCAGTGAGTAGGGATGGGGTTCGCCTTGCTGCCCTGTGAAAGGAGAAGGGACAGATTGAGTCAGAGTTCCTCAGAAATGTTGTGCCCTAACCCCCCAAGACAGAAATACCTGTCTACTGCATCTAATACATCTTGGTAAAGCATTAACATTCCACTGGGACAGGGAAGAGCCTCTATTAATCATCACCTCCCCTAGTGGACAATTCCTCAACATCAGCAAGCAACTAAAGTAAATGCTTATATTCATTATTTACTAAACGGTTTTGAAAGAAGTCTCCAAAATTAAAAAGGAAAAAAAGGTCTACATTCAAACATTCATCTCAGCAGTAATCAGCAGTTTGGAAAAAGGAGATAGAGGCCACTAGAAAAAATAGCGAGCAAAACGGAATCAAGAGTAAAAAAATAAAGACAATTCATGGCTTTGAAATGTAGAGTTCTATGTAGGTTTTTGCCTTTGAGGAATACAACAGAAGCTTAACAGTCTATCATGAAGACCAGAAATGACTCATCTATTCTCAAAACTGATTGACCTGATAAATGTTAAAGAGAAAGACACTTTAAGAACACCATTAATACACTTATTGGCAAATGAAAAAATCATGGAAGGGTAGGATTAACTCTAACAGCTAAGGCTTAATATACATCATACAACAGTTTGAAATAAATGATGGGGTACCTATTATCAGATATTCCTATAATCTTGTTAATTTTATTTTTTTTATATATAAAGTCAATTATTTCAAAGGTGTTATATAACACATACCTAATAACTTTCAAAAATAAGATTTAAGTTTAAACATGTTTGAAACAGTACAAATTAAGTCTATTTGGAGAATTTCAGAAAATGTACCAAAGCAAGAGTTAATTAAACTCAGTGTTTGGGGAAAAAAATGTCACAGCCTGAATCTAGCAACTCACTCAGATTTTTTGCCTAGGATGTAGTGTTGCTTTAAAAAAATGCTATGAAAATGTTATTTTCATTTATTGTCTCCCAAGATGTTAAACTCAAGAGCTGCCTTAAGAACCTAATGTTGATGTACTAAAATTAACAGACTACCTAGATTACACTCTTTTGCCAAATGTCTCAGTGAGGTCTGGATCTTTCATTTTGAGGATACTCAAAATTAAGTCTGTTACTCTTGGCACCAGCAGCCACAAATCAAAAGACAAATTGCACGGAGAAAGTCTGCTGTGAGGGACCTCTCCAGAGTACTGAAGAACAACAATGTCCATTTGGAAATTAAGGTACACCTGATGCAGCCCATAGTCTCTGCAATTACTTGCTATCCATTAGAAAGCTGGACAATGACTAGGGATGATAGAATTAATGAGGTGTGGCGCTAAACTAAGCGTACTGTATATACCATGGACTGCTGTAACACACAGGTTCGTCCTGAAGAGGGTGAAACCAGACTGCTCCTTGGAGGCAAGGATTCTGAAGCTTTGTCTGACATACTCTGGGCATTTTGCAAGAAGGGACCAGTCCCTGAAGAGGGACATCATGCTTGGGAGGGTAGGGGCACAGCGCAAGAGAGGAAGACCTTCAATGAGATTGATTCAGTGACTGGGATAATGGGGGTAGGTAAGTCAGAGACAAGACGGGCACAGAATGGACCAGGGTTCAGAGCTGTTATTGTACACAGGGTCGCTATGAATCGCAAGCTACTCTATGGCACATAACAACATGAGGTGTCATCACTGCCTGGCCCTAGTCAGAAATGTCAATCTCCAGGCCCTACCTAAAATTCTGATAATGGAATCCAAAAATCAGATTCAACCAGCCCTTCAGCTGAATCTAATGTCCGCTCATCTTTGAACTCTAGGTGAAAGAAAGATTAAAAGTCAAAGACAGAGGACAGAATAAACATCTCTTAATAATCAGTCTGTCAACAAGTGCTTCCTTCCATCATCTGTGACACTAGGTTTTCTTCTTTAAGGAGGTAAGAGCACCACAGCCAGAAATTTTTGCCCGAAACATGATCAAGGAACAAAGAACCTATGGTAATTCTTTTCCCTTTCATAAATCACAATCACCCAACATTTTTATCTAAGAGGACCACCTTACATCATTACAGTTCTGGTCCCATCACAGCCAATTCTCTAGTACAACTAAGATGTACCAATGGGAATGAATGAATATATTAAACATTAAAAATCTTCTCCATAGACAGCATCTAGTATAATCTGGAAACTAAAGCACTACTATTATGACAGTACTAAACAGTTATGACTGATTTAGAAAACTGCCTTTATCAATTTCTGTACACTAATTCTAGCACTCAGAAATTACACATCAAAATACTAAGTCTCCACTCTGAAATTCTCCAAACACACTTTTTATTTTACAAAGTAGAAAACTAGAAAGGTGACATGCATAAACAATACTAACAAGCTCCAAGAGGAAAAAAAAATCCAGGTCTGAGCCCTAGACTGAAACTTTTTTGCAATATTCTTTCAACTATTAAGCTCCTCAAATGATATTAAAAAGCTAGTTAATATTTAGGATTACAAGCTACTATGGAGTTTATCCTTTATTTCTAGTAACAATCCTGTGTAAAACAAGGCAGAATGCTTTGTCAAGCCCACTAGAGATTTAATTATAAGCTGTATTTACCCTAATTTTTATTTATATTCAACAGAATTACAGCAGATAAAAGGAAAATAGCACCAATATATGGAGCACATCAAAATGTCTTATGACCAAAATTTAGTCACTCCTCTTCCTGACTTGACCCCAACATGAAAACGTTTGCAGTGTCTACTCAGTAACTCACTAGTATTGTTTTCAGGTTTTAATCCTGTGGCCAAAGTTTCAGATGGAAGATTTTTGTTGTTGTTGCTTCGTACAGGTTGCATGACGGGGATATGAGGAATCCTATTTCTTATGGTTTAAATTACCACCATAAAGCAAGTTAATTTCCATTCTTAATAACTTTCCTAAAATATTAAAAATCCCTGAGATTTGTTAAAAGTAAATATATCAGAGTTCCCCAGTAATCAATCACTGCTCCTATTTGATTCTTGCTCTTATTTGATTCTTAAGAGTTTAGCAAAGCAGTAAATTTACATTTTAGAGTACACATGCAATCCTTTCCTGTTAGGCAGTGTTTTCCCCCAAAGACAATTGTTTTGATCCTACACAACCCTAAGAGAGAAATTTTCAACATCTACAGAATGAGCCATCCTGACAGCGATGACCAGCACTTTGGTCCTCTTGGCCACACTACCTCGTTGGACATAGTCGATTCCAACCAATCCAACCAGGTGGATTGTCACAGTGTCTGTAGTAATGGGCTTGAGTGTGTCAGAGATTGTGAGGAGTGCACAAGATAGGATAAGGTCTAGATCTGTGGTTCATAAGGGTGCTATCAATGGCACCTCACACCACCACAGTGAAAATATGCAAATACAGATTGTCATCTGTAAGACTACCTTTTAAAAAAACAGGATTTCTGAGATTAATTTCTCACCCTTCAGTGTTAAAATGTAGATAACACTAGTATTTTGGAAATATATTTTTAATAAATCAACTTATTGGCAAGCTCTGGTGCTTAGTGGCCAAGTAGCTGTACTGCAATCCCAGAGGTGCAGGGTTCGAATCCACCAGATGCTCTGCTGGAGAAGAAGGGACAATCTCCTCCTGTACCAGTCAGCTCTGACTTGACAGTACACTCACACAAAAAAAATTTAAAAATTTTAAAAAAATAAATAAACTTGTTCATACCTAATGATAAAAATTATTTTCTAGCTAAGTCAACGTGTTATTTATTCTGCATGACAAGTAAATGTGATACATACTTATTTCCATAAGCTTGCATTTTAAAAAGTTTCAGAATATGGCAAATTATGGTTGTGCTATAAAGTTGTAACCCACTCACAGCAGAACCTACAGAGGGTTCTCCAGAGGCTTTTAAGTACATGGGAGGACACTGCCATGCAAACAGTTGTGCCTCAGGGTTGTCAGCACAACTCCACAGCACTAAGCCACCATAGTTAACTGATAAAAAGTAGGCACCATTATTTGCTCAATAAAAAATTATGTAACTAATCATTTCTGGTTTAAGAGCTTAGATGGGACAAGAAACTAGTATTTAAAAGAAAAAAAATCCTATAAACCAAATTTTAAGATTGTCACAAAGTTAATGAATTCCATTAGTTTAATGCAATTCTCAAAAATGATTGTCCCAAGGGCAGTTTGGGAACTTTCGAAATAAATTTCTTTTAAAATTCAAATACACTACTGTTGACCTAGTAGTGGTCAATTTCTTTACTACTTTATTTACTTGCACCTTGACAACCAAAGCTCTTATTAAGATTCCATTTCTCTAACTAAAGTATGGTAATACCTACCTCAAGCAAGGCTCCACTAAAATATGTAATAAATGGTAACCTGTAGATAAAAAGTAGTAAATCAAGTGTAATTGCTACTATTCATATGTAATTTGCTTGCAGCTTTTTTGAAAATCGAACTGCAAAAGAAGTAAAGATGCAGCATCTGTTCACAGGTATAAAATTATAATGTAATAAGCGAAATGCAAAGTCCATGCTTGTATTTACTATTTTTATACCCTGCAGCACACTACAGAACTGAAGGATGGCGGTACAATACCTAATTGGTAACCCTCCCCCACACCAAACACGCCCAATTTTCTAATTTAAGAGATGCGGATAACAGAAGCTAGCAACACTACATTAATGACATTAATGGGCACCTCGAGCCTCTCTTTCATTACCTCTCTTGGGAATTCTCATGATAGTAGAAAATGAAAGGAAAGCAGTCGCTAATAAATGAAAGTGAAAAAGGAAAAAAAAAAAAAAACAGTTTCTCCGCCATTCGTGGCCTAGAGAACAGTAGGTTACATCTGCGCCAAAGCTTAACACACCGTCCACAGTAGCTCTAATCCCCCAGTGCAAATGGAATACATGGAGGGGCCAGGTTACTCTACCGAGGGAAGGGGGTTCCCTCATCTCGTCTCCCACACTCCCTCGCGCTCCTTGCGGAACACACTACCTCAACTTAGCACGCCCCTTGCACTTACCAGGAGGGGAAAAAAGAGAAGAGATTCGACTATGAACCTCCTACTCCCGTATTCTATACGAAGAAGCCGACTATTGCTCGAGGTCGGTAACGCGGCCACAACCAGTCACTCTTCGTTTCTTCACAAAATGGCTCCCAAGTCTCTTCTGCCGCGGAGGCGAAGGCTTAACCCCCGCCCCTCCTCTAGGTACCTTCTTATTGGTTGGGTTCTTTCACGCTCCCGCTTTTAATAAGACGGTTCTCCCGCTCTTCACAATTGCATCCAATCGCAACTAGCAGTGGGTTAGACCAAGCAGGCGAATTTCCACATGCGTGAGAGAAACTACTTAGTAATTGGATAATTTTCCTGTCACTTATCCCTTGAGGCCTGCTTATTGGCCCCTGTTCCGGACCACTGGGTGGAAAGGCGCCTTTGTATCGCGCACTGCTTCACATCCGGGCATCTGAAGGTTTGATTGACGACCACACTAGCCTATCACTGTTCCTTAGAGCGTCCGGTAAAGGTTCCGCCTAGGTCTTCTAATTCCCGCGGCGCGTAGGGCGGAGTAAGGATATTAGTTAGGTAACTGGACAATATAGAGTTTTGCGCCTTGTCTCTGCTTACCCCTTAGGGAAAAAAAGGAAAACTTGCAAGTGAAGCTTTCCAAAGCATGTGTCTACAAGAGTGTTTTCTAAAGTGGAAAGGGAGCAGTGATTTCTGTAGTTACTGTCAAAAGCCCTCGAGTCGACAACTCAGCAGCCCTGTGAATAGTGGGTTTGAACCCTGCCGTATCTTGTGCCATTCTCACTATATATACTTGAACCCATTGCTTGCGACATTCTCTGTGTCAATCTGTCTCGTTGAAGATCTTCCTCTTTTTCTCTGACCCTCCACCTATCTAGTATCATGTCCTTTTCCAAGCATTAGCCCCTCCTAACAGCATACGTGAGACAAGCTGTAGCTAATAATTACTTGTTGGGTGCCATCGAGTCACAGATACCACACTAAATTAAAAATTAAAAATTCATCTTCTCAGGACACTTACTCTTCGTGCTGGAATCGGAACCTATTCAATAGCTGGACCTTCTTCACGTTTTCAAGGTTGTAAATTATTCCCGAGATGGTCCACCATGAAACTAAAAATAATTTGAGTTCTGTAACTTTGAATCTTTTCTCATATTTATAGTTATCATTTTTCCTACAACAAAGTTTATTGGTTTTCAGTGTTGCACTGTGGTGTATACCATCTAGTCGGAACTGAGCCAAGCCGACACTCCAGCAGGTTTTCAGGGTAAATCTCAGAGATTGCCTATCTTTCCCCCCTAGAGCAGCTGATAGATTTAAACTGCCTGCCTTTGAGATGGCAGTGCAATTCTTTTTGGGGGTTGGTGTTTGGGGTTTTTTTTTGGTGGGTTTTTTTTTATTGTAATGAAAGTTTACAGAGACTTTGAATTTCCATTCATTGTTCCACACTTTCCTCCCTGCCCATCCCCCCCAGTTCACTTTTCTCTTTGAAAAGTAAAAAAAAAAATTAAAAAAAATTATTTCATTGTTATACAATCCTACCCCTCCACTCCACTATGCAGTTTTCTTTCTGGACTCCTGTCATGACAATAATATCTAATCATATATTCATCCTAAATAGGTTTCTCCCTCATCTGTTTCAATGTAGTAAACATTATTTATCACCTCTTAGTTTCCCCTAACCCCTATTTCAGTCCTGCTTTACAACAGTGGCACTGTGAGGTATTTATTCTTTTGTGACTGAGATATTTCACTCAGCAAGCATAATGTCCTCCAGGGTCACCCATTTTGTATACTATTTCATGAGTTCCTTGTTTTTCAATGCAGCATAGTATTCCACTGTGTGAATATACCACAGCTTCTTTGTCTAGTCGTTTGTTGATGGACACTTGGGATGTTTCCAACTCTTTGCTACTGTGAACAAAGCTGCAATAAACATGGGTGTGCATATATCTGCTTGGGTGGCAGTTACGGTTTCCTTAGGGTATGTTCCCAGTAGTGGAATTGCTGGGTCAAATGGTATTTCTATTTGCAACTTTCTGAGAATGTACCAAGATGCATTGATAATAATGGGTGACTGGAATGCAAAAGTCGGGAACAAAGAGGAAGATTCAGTAGTTGGAAAACATGGACTCGGTGACAG